GAAATTTAATTTCTCATATATTGTTAACACATTTAATCAGAGTTCAAACAACCTGAACAGTAGAGTTCCAAATAACCTGAATTATTTTTGACAGTTCTATACAATGCCATTTTATATTCAAAGTGACCCATTTGGTAGTATGGAATCTTAAAATGCCACATTATGATCACTCTAGTTTTATTGCTAAGCATAGTTTTTTAATGGTGTTTTAGTTCTCCAGGTGTTGCTGGTCCACCTGAATTAGACTCCCCTGGAGTATTTATTAAAATGCAGATTCAACATGTCTTACTCTTTCAGTCAAATGTTAGCTCCAGAAAAGAAATTCAAGTTTTTGTGTAACACCCAGTCCTACTAAATCAGGATCTCTGGGGGCAGGGAGCGGAGCTCTGTACTTTCCACAGGTTCACCAGGTCATTATTCACACCAAGGAGGGGAAACCACTGGCTTAGAGTTTATTTAGTACCTCTAATAACCAAACTATTCAATTAGTGAAAGTGCCACATTCCTGGACAAATCTTGATTCTCAGGCATTTACTGTTTCAGAGGTATGAGTCATTATTGTATTTGTCACAATGTGATCTGACCTATAAACTCAAATGGATTTTTCTGCTTTTCAACCTGCAATCTTCCCCTTTCACCTTTTATAATTAAAACCCAATTTAAAGAAACAATCTACAGGAACTATAAGAGCAAATTTTTAAAGGTTAAAACCATGGGGCACTGTTTGTTCGGGATGGCTCTCCTATTAACATTTCCAGATTAGCTTTTAGTGAAAAGCACACACACAGACATATGCCCTCACTGCTTCAACTTGAAATGCTAGCTGAACATCAGGTACTGGAATAACAATAATCATGAACCCTCCTTCCTTTGTTAATGTAGTCCAGCCTAGCCTCCCACAGTCAGATATTCTACAGAGACGGTTCATAGCCACCGATTATGAATAGGAGTTACTATTCTTAAATGACTTGGAAAATACCTTCCCCTCACCCATGGAGAATCTGAATGTTGGCTTGAGCATTATCTCATCAATCAGAAATATTTCACTAAACGCAGCTACCTGAAACACACAAGGTCACACAGACCCTATATATTCATCTTCCAAGCCACCAAAATGCAATCTTACCCTCCTTTCCTCTCTCCACCCTTTGCTGTTTAAAAATAAAATCAAATTTTGCTTATGACTGGTTTTCTTGCCTCACCACAGGAAGTGGACTGGGTGAGTTCTCACATCACAGGTTTAACAGAGGGCACCAAACGGTGTCTGTGGGATACCTGACCTCCGTTGGAGGGAGCCCTGCCTGCCCAAGAGCTGTGAAGGAACTTTCCCCGGCAGCCTTCCCCTTGTGGGAGGTCAGCCCACGTGAGGCCCCAGCTTTGCTAGGGCTGTTGAGGAGGCTGACTGCGGAATCAGTGACCTAGGCAACAGGCGTCAGACTTGGTCACTCAAAGTGCTGCCTTGTCAAAGACATCCATCTTTAATCCTTTTCCCTCTCTTTGTTTGTCTCTCCCATCCCCACCTCTTCAAAAGAAAAAAAAAAGAGAGAGAGGGAGAGAGAGAAAATATGAAACAAAACAACAACAAATACATCTGACCTTTTTGCTATCCTAAAATATATATTTAAATGAATCATGCTAAAATTCCTTCCCACTGCCTGTCTAGCAATTCCAATTGGGAAGTCATTTAATTCATATTAAAAATATGACCCAAACTTTAGAGTTAGGTTTTTGGGTTCAACAGCGGTGTGTGTAGATCTAAATGAGGATTTGGTTTTTGTTTTGTTTTCTTTCCCCCAGCTTTATTGAGATACAATTGACAAATAAAATTGTATATATTTAAAGTGTACAATGTGATGATTTGATATAAAATGAGGTTTTATGTATAAAGAGTTCAGTGGGTTCCAAAGTAGATTGCATACACTCTGCGGGTGGGTCAAAAAATCCTCTGAAGTATGGGAAAAATGATTTGAACTCTTGCTTCCTATTTATTGTTTATCTAAAATAATAAAAAAGGAATTAAGCATTACAAATTTTCACTGAACAGACAGTCACTGGAGCCATTCTTCAGTGTGAATGTCTAAGGTCATGGTGAGCTATCATGTGGGAGGAGGGCAAGTTCCAAGCAGCAAAGTGTTGATGGTAGGTCATTTGACGTGTGACTGGAATTGTCCTATCTAAACTAAACTAGTCCCCCATAAATGGACAAGAGCTTTGGAAAGACTCCTGTTGAGAAACCACGAATTGCAGATGACCCTAATAATGTAAGCACAAGCCAGCAACAAGAAAATGGAAAAGTCAACACTTCCAAATCTCAAGGTTAGCTTTTTGTCAGCCATATGGTGAAATCGACATTAAAAACAATGACGCCAATGACAATCTAATCATATCTGATAAGTCAGCCAAAATATTCAAAATTATCTACTGGGCTATTTGAAATAAGAATTTATAGCCATTATCTTTTTTTTTTTTTTTTTTTTTTTAGCTGAGCCATCCTGCTACCTGTTGGCAGCTCAGCGGCTGCTCAGCTCGGGCTGGACTTGAACCGCTGTTGCTCAGAGCTCAAACTCTTGAGCAAGCTCTTAACCAACTGAGCCACTCGGCCGGCCCAATAGCCATTATCTTTAATGATAGATTTATGTGAAGTGCATCTTAGTCCTTGAAATTTAGTGTTAGTAATATGAAGATATTAAAAATTATTTCATTTTTATTTAATTTTTAAATTTCCATGTGTGTATGTTTTATGAACAAGTACATAATTTATAAATAAATAAATATACATATTTTAGGAGTAAATATTTCACATATTTTTCCTGATAGGAGTGCAGGATCACTTTGGAGATATCAGGGCTGTTGGTCACAGAGTGTCAAGCTGCCAGGGTTCTCAGAGTTCAGGTAAGATCAGGAGACCTCTATTATACATAGGAAAGTAGATGCCTAGAGAGGAAAGGACCTTAGCCTAAGGTTAACACTGCTATTGGGTTGTCAGAAAAGTCATGACGCATGTTTGCGACACATGGCAGTAGTTCATTTTTGGAAGTACTAGAGTCATTCACATCTATGTTAATGCTATGTCATTTGACAGCTGACAGTTCTAGCTTCATTCTAAAAAAAATTGAGCGATTTGGTTGAGTTTTGGAGATTTTATGACAAGTTGAAGATGGAAGACCAAACTGTGCGTTTTTGCCATATTTTACTGTTTCACTTTCATAAAGGGAAGAACGCGTGTCAAGCTTGTGAAAAGTTGTGTAAAGTTTACGGTGACAATGCTCTACAAGAACGGCAGTGCCAACGATAGTTCACAAAATTCCTTGCTGGTGATTTTGATCTCAACGACGCTCCTCGGTCAGGGAGGCCTACCGAAGTTGATGACGATAAAATAAAGGCATTGATCAAGTCAAACCCACGTTACACGACACGAGAGATTGCAGAAACATTGAACATCCATCATTCAACTGTTCACAACCACCTGAAGAAGCTGGGATACGTAAGCAAGCTCAATATTTGGGTTCCGCATGAACTCAAAGAAGTTCATTTGACAGCGCATATAAATATCTGCAATATGCTCATTAAACGTGAGAAAAATGAAGCGACTGATAACTGGTGATGAGAAGTGGATTGTTTACAACAATGTGTTGTGCAAACAGTCTTGGTCCCAACGTGATGATTCGCCTCAAACGACATCGAAAGCAGACATTCATCAGAGGAAGGTTATGCTCTCAGTGTGGTGCAATTTTAAAGGTGTCATGTTTTTGAGCTCCTACCAAGGAACCAAACAATAAATTTGAATATGTACTTTCGGCAATTGGACAGTTTGAATGAATTCATCATCCAGAAATGTCCAGAGCTTGTTAATTGTCAAGGAGTTGTGTTCCATCACGACAACGCGAGACCACACACAAGTTTGATCACCTGTCAAAAATTATTGGAGCTTGGACGGGATGTGTTGCCACACCCACCATACTCACCTGACCTTGTGCCATCAGATTTCCACTTGTTTCGGTCGCTTCAAAACTCCTTGTGTGGTATAACATTCAATTCAGATGAGGCTGTAAATCAGCACCTTGTTCAGTTTTTTGCAAATAAAGACAGGTCCTTCTATGAATGAGGAATTATGAAGCTCACTGAAAGATGGCAAAAGGTTATCGAACAAAACAGGCAATATATCATTGATTGATCTTTGTTCTTTATATAAATAAATGACCTTTGAAAACCATAGACAATATACGTCATGACTTTTCTGACAACCCAATAGTTAGTAACATCTCCCAGACCAGGAAACTGAGGTTCTAAAGAGTGAGATGGGGCTGGCCGAGTGGCACATTGGTAAAGAGCTGGCTTGGGACACCAGCTCTAAGCAGCAGGGCCCCGGTTTTGATCCCACATTAGGGCCAGTGACACTGTGCCCTCTACTGCTAAGATGGTGAACAACAGCTCAACCTGGAGCTGGGCTGCCATAAGTCGCCAGCAATGGCGTAGGGTGCAGTGAGGCTGCAGTGGGCTGCCATAAAAGCTACCATGAGCGGGTGGCAGCTAGCGTGAGTGGCCGGCAGCCGGCATGAGCTGCCAAGAGCCGCTGTGAGCGGCAGTCCAGTGGCCGGCGACCGATCTGCCTCACCTGGGAAGAACACAATGATAATACCAACATGGGCCAGTGAAGCAACGTCCTCTACAACTAGACTGAAAAACAAAAGGACAGCAACTTGTCTGTTCCCCTTCCCTGATTCCCCAATGCTGTTCCCCTCCCCCAATTCCCCAATGAAATCTTTAAAAAAGAAAGAGTGAGATGACTTGCTCAGGATCACACTATTAGGGATGTAGATTCTTATTCCAGTGCTCTTCTTAATGGGCCTGGTTGCCTTTCTATATAAATATAGAGATATGTAAAGAAGAAGCACTGAGCAAACCCTAGAAAATCAAACTCAATTGAAAATCCTCAGAGTAGAACCCAAATGTCTGTAGTCAGCAAGCTACTGAGACCCAACTATGCCTTTTATACTTACAATAACTCCTGGGTAATAACCTCCAACAGTCACATTTTGGGTCCTGGTGGTTGCAGCAAGGCCCACCGTGAGAATTAACACGGACACCATAAGCAAAGTCACGGTGACATAGATGGAGTTTCGTTTCCTTCGACTGAAGGCTCCTGAAAGTACACAGAGAAACTAAAATTGCTCATTTCTGCTGGAGAAGGGATGGAAAAAATCACTAGGAAGGCTTTCCTTTCCTACTCCAACTGGTAACTGAGGATACCTCTGGGGAGTGGAATTATGGAGAAGAAATGGAGGTTTTGGATTTTTTGTTTGTTTGTTTGTTTTATTTGTTTTGCAGTCATCTGATGCTACATTTACAATAAAAAATATCCAGTTCGAAAATAAACAACAAAAGAAATATTACCAGTTACATAAAAATGAAATACATTTTTGTGCTTTCGGCATTCTATAAAAGATGTGTCATACCCACTTAGTGGAGCGCCTTTTAGGCTAAATTATAAGGCATATGATAAGTGGGAAGTGTATGTGTGGAGATATTAAGTGAAAATATGTTAAAGCCAATGTGCAACTAAGAAGGGCTTTTTTCATAAGCTGGAGGTATGAAATTTCATTTTCACTATAAATACCAGAACAAAACTAGGAACTGGGATTTTTTTCATTTATTTCTGACATTTCTCACTTCATGTATAAATGTTAAAACGGTGTGTTGGCAAGATTTGTCACCTAACAAATGTGTGTAATAAGGTAAGTGTTTGGAGGCCATTAGTCCTCAAAGATATGTATCTGGGGAAGTAGATGGAGAGGATTTTATCTTATATACATTTAAGCTTATGTGAGGGTGACATAAATATAGATGAAACCCATTCTCCTAAACAGTGATTATCAGGCATGATAGTGCAAACCAATATATTTTTTTGGAAAACAGGCTTATTAAGTTAGATTAAAAAGATGGTGTCTAGACTCGCTTTTCAATTTATTTTTTTTAAAGGAATTGAGCACCGCTGCACACTCTGCATGCATTTCTCTGACCTGGAGAATGGGCTCTCAACAGGAAATACCAGGGACCAGTTACCCTATGAGAGTCCAGTTCTCTAGTGGGGAGGATGAAGCAGTGGGGAGCCTTCTGATGGGGTCACCCACACAGTAGCTTGACTATCATTTATGGGCTTAAAGCGGTCACTTGGGTCTGTTCATAGGACCCTGTTATTCTGGGAGGCCTCCCTGCAGCCTCAGGAAGCAGCTGCTGATTGAAGCCACCCAGACTGCACCACTGGGAGGGGAGAGAGGATGAAGGAAGGAGGAGGGAGGGAGAAAACCAGCAGGACCCAGGAGGCCTGGTGATGGCGAGAGGGAAAGACTGTGGCTGGCCCTGCAACCCCCAGCAGATATCCCTTCATACAGGGAAGAAAAGCGTTAGGAGTGCCACCCTAAATTAGCCCCACCATCCATCCTGTCTTTCCCAGTGTGGTCACTGCTAGACTCCAGGGAGGTGGAAGGGGCTGGCGGTTTCCCCCGACATCATCCTCTGAAGTGAGGGACATAACTCATCAGGGTCACATTTTTCTAGTTAAAGTTTATTGGGGTGACAATGGTTAGTAAAGTCACATAGCTTTCAGGTGTACAATTCTGTAATACATCATCTATCTATCACATTATGTGTTCACCACCCAGAGTCAGTTCTCCTTCCATCACCATATATTTAATATCAAGGTCATTTATAAAAGGATACTAGTTTAAGACTATTTTACATTGAAATGTGTAAGTGGCACGACTGTTTATAAGCACACACATTCTAAAGGGCCATATCAAACTCTGGGAGGAGAAGAAAAAAGAATTGGAAAATGAGACTTCCCTGTAGTGGGCCTGAGTCCAGCCTTCATGGGAAAACAGAAAGGACCACTGGAGACACCTGTGACATCAGGGACCTTTGTGTGAGAGGGCTATTTGTGATGCAAATGATGAGGTGACAAGTGGTAAACAGGATGAGCGAGCCAGGGAGAAGTGGACTGCCAGTGGTGGGGGCAGGGGGAAAGATTTATTTCATCTATTTGCCTGAAGGTTAGTTATCCTTCCTCTACATTTCGAGGGCCCCTAAACCAGGGTCCCTAAGTCCATTTGAAGATAGACGCTTCTTAGTGAATCTGAGAGTTGGGTCCACAGAGGGGCTCTAACCTAAATTTAACCATCATCGTTTCCCGCGTATCCTGTTTGCTTTTCTCTTTTGTGGCTCACACCCTCTCTGCCACATACTGGCAAATGTGAGTGAGCGAACATCTGGATACATCAATGGCATCTTTTGACACATGAAAGTGTCTCAACATCTCATACGGAAAACATGTAACTTCAGTGACTAAAATGAGGAAGTATGTGTGTGCACGGTGTTTCTAATTGTTTTGTCTCACTCGCCTGCTCCTTCCCCGCCAACCAGATTTTGATCCTATTCACAGCTCTTGGGTCTCCTTTGCAAATATCACTCTAACTCTTAAAAGCACAGGAGCCAAGTCAGAAAAGTGACTCAGCAAACCACATGGTGTCATTTGAAAATCTATATAGTTTTTCCTGCTTTAGAACCTGAATTGAAAATCTAGTCAGTTGAGAGACCCAGGCAAAGATCCTACAGCTGCACTGGGAACTTGCCTCTAGATAGGATTTGCTTTGGGTAAAACTCCTAAGAAAACTCTCCAATCACTAGGTTGAATATATCTATTCTCTGTCCTCTCACACCCTCCCCCAAGTCTCCCCTTATTCTACACTGTAAGGACCATACTCGTGTAAAATGAAGTTATTTCTAGTTGCACTTGGTGAATGAACCATTTTAAGGAACACTGGGGTGAATCTTTTTGAAAATCAAAGAATCACCCCTCCATTTATCTTTGTGTCAATTTGACTTAAAAGTCACATTTACTTAGAGCAAGACAAGCCTGTTCTCTCAAGGTGTGGCCCAGGTTCCTGAAAGGCAGTTAATTGTGTCTGCTTAGGATATTTTCCTGAGCAGTTGTTTCATTTTAGAAGGGAAAAGTAGAGCCCTGCTCTTATTAGGGTACAATTTTGGACCTGCCTTAGATGTTCCTATAAACACAGGAACACCTGATTCCTATTTGTTTAGTAAATCAGCATATCAAAAAACTTCGGACACCATGGTGTACTTAAACAAAACAGCAGTACCTCTCACAGTGTTTGATACCTAGTGAGCAGTCAATACTTTTTTAATAAACCAGAGGTAACCTCAGAATTGCTTCCCTTCTAATCAAAAAGGCCACGTGCGTGTGTGTGTGTGTGTGTGAGTGTGTGTGTGTGTGTGTGTAAATAAATATGCACTACGTTCATAGAATTGATTTTTATAAAATAAGTTACACCTGAGGGCTACCTAGAAATAAAAGCCTGCTGGCCAACTAGTGTCACAATCCAATGTCTCTCACTAGCCTGCCTACTTGGCACCTGGTATATTTCTGTTTCAACAACCACCACCACCCCTGCAACCAACAGTGGTGGGAGTTTGAAATCCCATCATTGGCATTGCCTGCCCCCCTCCACCCTCAGCAGCCTCCCTGCAGAACTACAGCATCCCTCCCTCTCTGCAGTGCCCCCCCCCATATTCGTGACAACCAGGATGCTCAGCTCTAGAAGTGCCCAATGATTTGCTTTCTTCAGCCTTCCAAATACAGCCAATTTCTCCATCCTCCCGGTTTCCCCTTTGGTCAGAGATTCCCCACCCCTGCACAGCGGTCTTTGAATCTCGGTCCCTCCCTTCCTCTGAAACCTGCTCAAAACTCACATCCTCCAAGAATTTTTCTTAACCAAGCTCACTCTACTGGAATCACTCATTATTTCACGTTCCTAGGTAACTTACTCAATAAGTATATTAACTGCTACAACTATAATTGTAATTGTGGGTATGTCCACAACCCATCTGATGCCCACCAGGTTCAGGATTAAGTATCGGACAGGAACCAAGGTGTGGGTTGCCAGCAGGTAGGATGACTGTCTCTACTCACATGTGTTTCACTTTCTACATGTTCTCCGTTACCCCCTTGATTATAGGCTGTGTAATCCAAATGCAGTGAGGCTGAGGGCCCAACATCTGATCCTGTGCACTAAGTTGTTGATGCCTAATTCTTGGGGCTGATCTTTTGAACTGATTAGGGTTTGCTTATCTGAGTCAGTTTTGCCACACAGGGAGGGTCTCAGGAAGTCTCAGCTTTGAGCATCTCTAGAAACTCCCCACACAAGAGACTCAAGGAATTGTCGATCTTCCAAACATTTCCTCAAAGGTACTGAAATCCCACCCTAGTCCCCTTTTGGTAATTTTTTTGACTGGAGACACCCGAGTCTACCGTGAACTACAAATGTGTCATTTGGGAGGGAAGAAGTGCTTTGATGTAAGCAGAGGCACCTTAGCGCCTGGGGGCGGTTTTGCCAAAAGGGGGAGGGTGCTGGGAAGGGATGAAGGGACACTGGAGACAAATTACCATCTTTCTATTGCCAAAAGCCTGCTCTGTTCCAATACTTGGACTAAACGCTCATGCCCAAGCAGCCAGTAAGCATAAAGGGCAGGCACCTGGGTGCAGTGTATCTGTTTTAAATTTTATTGTTTTGGCTGTGGTGTGTCTTGCCTTTAGAGGGAACCCCCTCAGAAATGCTGCCCTTGGAGGCTGAAACACTAACCCACCCACCTCCACTTCCACTCCCCCATGCAAGGGAAGGTGGTCTTGCCAGAGCTGTTAAATGCGAGTCTCAGCTAGCTCCTAAGTTGCCTAGATGCTGATTCAGGCCTCGGCTGTGCAGGACTAGCGCCAGGGAACTCCGGAGACATTCCCTTGTCCAAAGTGTGGAAACCCAGGGTTACCACTCCGCTCAGGAATTTGCTCGTGCCCTAGGTCTGCGGACTTCTAAAGCGGGGTGCGTGGAGCGGGCTCCCGCTATAAGGGATCTCTGATTCTTCTCGCGCAATGTCTGAACGAAGCCAACCCAGCTTCTTGTTGCGCGGACCTTTCTGGAAACGCAGGATTGGCTGAGGGCCCTTGCGAGCCCAAGAAAGAACTGTCTTCATCTTGTTGCTCAACAAACAGAGCAGTTTGCCAAGTAACAACGTTTGAGGCCTCAGGCCACTAACCTGCCCACTTCCCCGCAGGGGGATGGTCTGGCGCTGGGAGACAGGTTTGCAGGTAATTGTGGTGGCTGCGGGTATGGTGCTGCAGAACCCTTGCACTCTTCTCCCCAGCCCTCCAGCGAAGCAGCCTGACATCGGGGAGCCAGGGCAGCATTGGCGCCACAGCTGGCCAAGGTGAGAAGTGCATTGTGTGTGCGTGTATGTTTGGGAGAGAGCTGGGGGGTGTCTGGTACTGCTGGGTTCTAGATTCGATCTCGAGTCCTTGGCTTCATTTGTTGCAAAAAAAGAGCAAATTCTTATTCTGAATATGCAAAACATTAAAAATACGGATCTTCCCACCATCTAGGAGACTATACTTTCTGGGGCCCCTCCCGTGAACAAATTCTGTTTAAACCGAGTATTTTGCCGGGAGTAGGGAGCTCGCAGAGGGAGTGCAATCCTCTGTTCCCGCAAAAATTTCAGAGAAGACCTGAGCAGACAAGGATGGCAAGAATTCAGACAGAGGGATTTTGCAGAACGTAAAGTATGTTGGAAAGAGAGAATTCGATTTGGTTAAGTGTATCCGAGGCGAATGTTAACATTAGGTGGGATAATGGCTTGACAATCTGTTTCGCTCTCCTGTATTCCAAATTAATTTATCTGCCCAGTGAAGTCATAGGGCTTGGGAAGGTTCATAACAGCTGACAGGGACTGGGTTCACGTTTTGTTTGTAACTACCAGAAAGCAGCTTCAAGGGGCAACCAAGTTGGTACCTGGAGGTAGTTGTCCTCCAGTTTTTTTTTTGGTTTGTTTTTTTTTTAAGCTGAGCCATCCTGCCACCGGTTGGCAGCTCAGCGGCTGCTCAGCTCAGGCCGGGAATCAAACCTGCTGTTGCTCAGATCTCAAACTCTTGAGCAAGCTCTTAACCAACTGAGCCACTCAGCCGGCCCTGTCCTCCAGTTTTGATGAGGAAATGTGTTGAACCAACTCAGGCTAGTGGGTACCCCCTCCCCCTCCATTTCCCCCAGAGAGGGAAAGCGCGACTTCAGAAAATGAGCGGGCTCCCTCTGGCTCTTTCTTTCTCTGGTTCTCACTCGTCCCCCCTCTCCTTTTCTTCCACACTCACGCACATTACATTCCGTGCATTTGGAGCAAAATAAGAATCAAATTCTAGGAATATTGATCCCGCCACTGCAGACGGCAGGGCTGGGCTGTCTCCAGTGATTCCAGAAGAATTCCCCTCCCGCCAGCCCGCCTTCTTTCTTCTCCCACCTGCCCATCCCCCAGGGCTGCGCAAACACCCCCATCAGCGAGGTGCAAGTCGCTCCCGGCCTCCGCAGCAGCTCTGAAATTCAGGGCAGCTTCGACAGAGTTGGGAGGAGGCGAGGACCTTGCGTCTTCTAATCATTGTTAGTGGTGAGCTCTTAAAAGTGACAACGACTTTGCAAAGAGGGAGCGTTAAAAGGAAAGCGAAAGCGCAGGTTGCAGGGAAGTGTTTCGATCCCCAGACAGCTGGGATTTACCACCGGCTGCAAGTCTGTCGATACACGCACACAAACACGTATACACCCGCACTCCGGGCAGCAGACTGCAAAGCAAGCTGGGCGCTCCAACCTCGGCTTGTCGCCCCCACACCAGCTTTCACCATGGCCACTCCCTGGAGCTCCGGTCCACCACCCAGACGTTGGGGCGCGCGGATCCTCTTCCCCAACCTTCCTTCCCGCTTCCGGGTCTCCCGGTGCTCAGGGCGTTCACAATCCAGAGGGCAGCTCACTCACCCCTTGATGCCTCCGCCCCTAGGAAGAGCGGCTAGACTTACCCATAGAATCCTGCAGAGACATGTCGCTGGACCGCTGCTGAGTCAGGGACTGATGCATGGTGAAAGCTGCCCTGGCCACTGAAGCTGCTTCACGCGCCCCAGGCTCAGGGCGCCCCGCAGAGCATCTTACTCCGCGGCTGCCGCTCCGGGTCTCTCTCCGAGCTAAGAGAGATTGCTTCTGGTTGCCAGTTGCAGCCCAAGTGCCGCCCCCCTCCTCCCTTCTCCTCTTTTCCCTCCCTCCTCTTCTTCCTCCCTCTGCTCTGGGTGGCAGCAGCATTGGCGGTCTGAGCACCAGCTTGCGCTTGCGCAAGCATACCCCCCCACACATCTCGGCACCCCAATCCTAGTTATTCACCTTCTAGCCTCCCAAGCCAGACGGAGCCGTTTTAGCCCTTGGAGCCAGGGCAACACAGAGAAAGAGGGAGAAGCTACAGCCTGGGACCAACCTGCCTTCTCTGTAGTTTGGAGAGAGGGTCGTGGGCAAGCATCCTGTTCTTGGATTTATAACTGGCGAGGGGGTAGAGTCAGAGTCTCCGAGCTGAGGAACACACACACAAACACACGCCCACACGCGCACACACACACGCACACGCACACATTCATGCAGGTTTGGTCTTAGTGCTTCCAGAATGACATAATGAAGATGGAGATGACCCAGAGAAGGGCCTCTCTATAAACAAGGGGATAGGGCCTAAAACAAGGATGGAGGGAGCTCCCATATGTAGATAGATTAAACAAATGCAGACTCTTTAGTCTAGAAAAATGAAGGCTGGGAAGAGATGTGACCAGAGTATATAAAAGTATGCAGAGATGGACAGAAGGAACACAGTTTTATTCACCAGATCTGATTATTCTAGAACCAACAGCCCCCTAAGGGCTAGAAGGATATTCAGCTAAACAAATCTGACTGCATCAGTGCCCAAGTTTGTGCTTTTGTTCCAAGTGCTCTTTTATGTCAAATATCTCATTTTCTCATCTTAGCAGCCATGCAAGTCTGGAAGAGGAGGTGTCAAGAACCACATTTTACAAATAAAAAACCTGAGTCTCAGAAAGGATGAAAGTTTCCTGTAGTGACCCAGCTAATAAGTGGCAGAGATGGGATTTGAACCTAAATCTACTGGACGCCCAGGTCAGTGCTCTTCCTGCTATGGCAGCTGAAAAGAAATATTACTATATATACCACATTGAAAACCTAAGGAATTCATTAGCCCCAAGAGGTGCTACAGAATCAAAACACAAGTAGCTTTGGAAAGAGTGAAAAAGTCCTGGCTGACAGATCCACTGTGGATTGCTAAGGGAAACTGGGGATGAGGTGGGAATATGCTTGATCTTGGAGGACAACAAGTCTTTCTCTAACCCTGTCCTTCCAGATCCTATTAGGATATTGGGCTGGAAACATTATGTTATTGGCCCAGAAGTATGGTTCTAATGTCCTCAAAACAGTAGCAGAACAGGATGAGGCCTCTTTGGAGTGCCCCAAGACATCTTCCTGGTGGCCAAGGGAGATGAAAGGTGAGGAAGAGGATAGCAGTGGTCTCCAGCTCCTGGAAATTCAGCCCTGTGGGCCCGGCATCCCAGGGAATTGATCTGTTTGAAGGCACCCATTCTGTCCCAGTGAGAGTTCCCAGGTTCCACTTGCCAGGTATCTTTCCAGCAGCCTCTCCCTGATGATTGCTGCAATCCTCTCTCCATTCTCGTCCCTACCCCCAAAACCCCACCTCAGGATCAAGTATAAAACTTTTCTGAGAGTTGATGGGATGAAAAAGAGTACTTGGTTTTCCACAGCTTTGTTTTGCTAATCTATTTTTTTT